GTCTGCTTACCTAGTGCTGTGAACCATCATGAGAAACCACCCGAAAACACAATACACCTTATTAAATGAAGATTATAAGTCTGTGTTTCACCTTGCAAGAGTTGGGGGAACTTGCAGGGAGATGTAGCTGAGCCGAAAAGGCAACGGGAACGTGGCTTCACAAAAGGTTTAATGAACGGAACAATGGCTTTGCACGAGCGTTTTACTGGGACCAACCACATCGAAAACACCTGTAAGCCACAAACACGTCTAAATTGAACAAATGTTGTGCTCAAATTTCATAAAAGATACAAAGACATTCCTTCATTGGGTTAAGTGAAGATTACTTTCTGCATTAATAGCTTTATTTTAGCATATTTAGGATTAGAGTTATTGTCCCATACAAAATCTTTAAAGCGTTTGTTGCGTAACATATTGAGCTTGGCTTGCCTGTGGTTGTCGTTGTTAAGAAAACTGCCCATTGAGAAAAAGACATAATTGACCAGTCAGAACAGAATTCAACACAGAATAAAAGCAATCTAAATAAGTTCTAAAAAGGGCGCTATTCATCGATGTACCAAAGGTTGAGATAATGATTAAGGCACTCCCTTGATTCATAAAGTGAAGATGTAATCCTTCTGTTAGGAATAGGAACGTCTTGAAACAGTGACGAGTAAAGAAACCTGTACTGACATAAACAAACCCTATTTTGATGATCAAGGAACACATTCCAATCACGAGGTCAAACAGCCAAAGGGAATAAAAACATCTCAAAACAAAGATCACAAGGAGCGCTATTCACCCCTGTACACAAATTAAAAACTATTTCATCAAATCCCACCCACAAATCTTTATTAGACGTCAATGGACCTTTATTCTGACGCTTGAAGAACAAATTCCGATCTCGAGATCAAACATTCCGAAGAGGCGGTTTACAAACTACTCATTCCAGTCATTGAACTAACTCCGCCTTTCTTTCGATTTGCGTAAATTCTTGGCATTATTTGAGCCATCAAGGAGCAATTTGCAACTATGAGACCAAACTTCCAAAAGGGAAAAAAACATATCAAACAAAGATAGCAAAGGAAGCTATTGATTCATGTATTCTTTCTAGTCCCGCCCATATATTGATTGACACGGTGACGTTTGAGTCCTTCTTGGGACTATTTAAGTT